CCTTTTATATAAAAAAAGAGATGGAACGTTAATGTGCAACATTGGTGATTGAACTGGAAATGTCTACAGAGAAAAATTATATTATATTTATTATTGCATCCTACACATTCTATTTTCATTCGTAATATGTTGATGAAATCAACAAAGATATAACAGAAAAATATATATATTTACCCATAGGCAAAATTGAAGCAGTAATCAAATCGATGGTAAAAGAAACACTACTTAATCCACAGTATTTACGGCCAGTTCTTGATACATGTATATCAGATAACTTGATGAACGATAAATTAACAAGAAAAAGTATAATAATAGTACAACAGCAGGTTTGAAATGCTCGCTTGTGTGTTAGCCATATACTTGATTTGAGTGGATAACTAACAGCGACAGCTTTATCTCTATAAGAAATAGATATTCATGTTATTTACTTATCTTTTTTATACAACAAAAAAAAAAGAAAGAAAAAGAAAAGCTTACAAGCTCATCAAAACAATTGTCCACATAGCAATTGAAATGCATGCATTCATTAATACATATAATGCTTTACAAACTGATGGAGTTAATAAAAATATCTCGTGACCTTTGTCAACTGATTGATAATTAATTTCAGCTCGAATGTATTTAAGTGTGATTGATAAAATATCAAAAAATGCAAGAACACGTAAAAATAGAATAGTAGTTGATTTATTTGATAATCTTGGCCGAGAAAGTATAAATAAACAAAGTGAATTAAGTAATATGCCTGGTCCAATAAGTAAACGTAAATATGTTGCATTAAGTAATTTAAAAAAATTATAAGTAGGTGCATAAACACGACCTGCTAAAGAACAATTAAGTATTGCCGATATTGACTCGTTATCTGTGGAATTCATTGATCTAAATGAAAAATATTTCTTAATCTATTTTGGAATAATCATGGTAAAAATGACAGAAGAAAAGCGAAAAAAAGATATATATGAAACATTCTTCTTCTTTTTTTTCTATCATTTTTAGCTGGTGTCAAACATTTTTGTTTATACTAACAATCAAGCTCGGTGTAAATGTATACATAAAATATTCATATTAGCGAAAATAAAAACTCACACACTTGAGTAGGTTATTTGACTATGATATTTAGTACTTTTTCTTTTCTTTTGTTGTAACTACGACAGTTAGATTTTGTTTACATGCTATCTTGGACATATTATTTTCTTACTTGACTCTAAAGACAAGTATAGATAAAAAAGAAATCTTCTTTGTCGACATATATGACATTAACTAGCTTTTGACTGTTCTTTCTAATGAATGGCATTATCAACCTACTGTTTCTGTCACAAAAATCTTTGTTACGACACTGATGTTGCCACACATTTAGTATATATAGGAAGACCAGTGTCATTAGCAGTTACTATGATAATTATTCGATGAGTCGACTTTCTTTCCTAATTATTCTTATTTAAATTAAATATTACTAAACTCAATATGCAAATGATAGTTTTGTATGATACACTAATCTAAATACTTAACTATATTCTTATACTTACTTTAGTTTAGTTAAGCGTTAAATATTTCTCGTGAATGTTTTTTAATATCTAATTAGTATTATTTCTTTTGGTTTCTTTACGCATATTTAGTTTTCTACAGATGAATAAAACATGAATATTTATTAAAGCAGCCTTTATATAAAGTCATGAACAGGTCAATACTTGTGTAATCAAGAAAAAATATCTTATCGAGACATTTCTCATAGATATTTTCTATCTCTCTGTCTCTTTTTCTTTTCTTTTGTATGTCCTTTGACTATTATAATTATGTAGAATTGTAGAAATAGATCTTTCAGGAAAAACAGCTCATATATTTAATATTATCATACAAATGACTGCATATATTCATTGGTTTAGATCCCTAGGAATGTTGAAAAGTGACTACTGACTCTGACAATAAAAATAAGAGAAGAAAAAACAAAACAGTTTTTTTCTTTCTTTTTGTCTCTGTCTTCTCTGAAATAAGAAACTATATGTAACTATGTTCGTACAGGGAGCAATAAACAACTAAAAAGAAAAGAAATATTTCTTTTTCTTATTTCATAAAAATATGAATTATTTTAGCATTTATTTTCGCAATAATAATTCTAATAGGAACAACTTATGTCATTTAATGTCGAACAAAAATCTTCGCTTTTTCATCAATCATAATCTTGATCTTCTTAATAGTATGAATAGAAATTCATAAGATAATAGCTTTAACTGATAAATAACTATTCTTTGTCGTTGAAAATACATTGTTTTTCACCAGAGAAAATCAAATTTTGACCGTAGTAAATTAAATATTAAGACTTACTCAATCGCTTAATGAAAAAATTCAAATGTAATAACTTAGTTTTTCATATTTTACATACAAAAAATCAAGAATTTATATTCCAAGTTTATATAATGCTAATATAATTTGCGGTTTTACTTTCGATTAAGTTAAAAATTAAATAGATTAATTAATTGTATTTATGTTGCTGCATAGAATATAATATGAGCTAGTGTTCTTAATATTCAATTATTTCAAATAGACGATGCAAAATAGAAAAATGAAATAGCGTATTGTTTGTCATAAAACTCGTCAATCTTAATTGATTTTGTTACTGCATCTATCAATGGGTATATAGCTATCTGAAAACTACATCTATTTAGTCCTGTTGATATATATTTTTTTATAAGTGTTCTTTTATGGACAACTTCTTTAATAAGAACAATATTTTATTTTCGTGTAGATATTGTATTATGATTTCATCGTTCAAAATTAGCCTTATAACAACTATTGAAGAAGAAAAACATTCTTATAGCAAACATAAATCAATTATTATGCAAATAATTTGCGTATTTATTTTTATCACGAGAAACAGATTTTATAATTGAGTAATTTTTCTTATTTGTGTTATCTAATCAAATGTAATTGTTCTTTGAAAGTTGAAAAAAAAAAAGAAAAAATAAATACCCGAATATAGATTCATTGTACACTTGATTAGTAGTAAAAGACTGATTAAGTGATTCGATGTTCTTCATAACTTGAAAATGTTAATATGGTATGACGATTGAAAAAAATCTTAGAATATTTATAATCAATAGAATGTCTAGAATAGAAAGAGAAAGCCTATAATAAACTATAAACAAGGAACAGTAAGAAACCAATAGACAATCAGAATAGATAAGCAATTCAATCAGTTCAAGTAGATTCCATCTAGTGACATGTTTCATCAAGAATAGAAATAGCGCAATAATTTATATACGAACTATAAAATATGATTTATATTCTAAGCAACAAATTTGTAAACTAATTTACGTAACAATCCTATGTCCTCAAATTGCAACTATCTAATGTTTTAAGCGTTAAAAGAGTTTGAAATTTCAGTACAATTAAATTGTATTGATGAGACTGAAGTCAAAAACAATAGCTGATGAAAAGTGAAGACGTCCGACAAGTATATAGTTTAGAACAACGATTTAAAAACAATTAAACATCTAAAATTTTCACAACTAGAATTACATTATTTTCGTTCTCATTGTGTACATACTTATAAAATGTCAACAATTTGTACTAAAATGTTTCATAGTCATCCTACATATATGTCTAGCGGAAATTTTTCTTTTATGATAATAAATCATAATTACGCGCCGTAACTCACATGCTTTCCATAAATAATTATGATGTTTCTTTCGATTTTGTTCAGATTTTATTCAATGTCATTGTTGTCTATGTCTCATGTCTTGTCTTTTGTAGCTACATGCTATTATTACATACAACTATGACAAATCACGATTCAGTCTATGCCTTTTTCATTCAACACTGATATACATATGAATACTATTATCTCATATAAGATTGCTTGAATAAACAACAAGAGCAGTAATGCAGAACTAATTACAATAGTGCCTATATTGATGAGCTATTCTAATTTATTTATTATTAATAGTATGTTGATGAATTTGATGAATCGATCAACAGCTTCAGTATTAATAATGTAGTATATACAATGTAAATATTCCAACTAGTACTCTCTATTTGAACTCTTATTTTGTTCATAAGTAAAATCTATGGTTGTTGATAAAAGCTTTCGTACCCTTAGGTCTATTCTCTTAATATATAGTGATTTTAGTCAATTTTGAGCATATTGCAGGATAATACGACAAAAAAAATGCAATAATGGGTTTCCGTCTGAAATCTTCTCTAATAATACATACCATGGTAATTGCTGTATTATGAAAGGTTCAACTTGAATGGATAATTTTTTCTTAAAGATGTAGAAAATCTAAAATTGGGCTAATTTTAGAATTTTTATGAGATACTCGTGTTTTTTAAACCATTTTCTCTCAGATGAGAAACATCCATTTAAGATGAAACTTTCAGGATATAATCAATTCTATTATGTTTGCTATTGAGAAAAATTTCAGACGGAAATTCATTATTACAATGTCTTTCGTTATATCCTGCAATATGTGGAAAATTCAATAGAATGTCTACAATTGAAACAGAAAAGCTTAAGGGTATGAATGCTTTTAGAGTTTTCACCTAAAGTTTGAGTTTAAATACAATCTACCTATTGAAAACATTATTACCTAACTAAAGATGATAAACAAAATAAAATAAAAACAGAAACTGCGGTAGGTAATCAGAATTTATCTAGACTTTTGATTAGCTACCTTAGGATACATAAAACTATCAAGAAAAAGTAATTACGGATCAAATATTATATTCCATAATTTACATACTCTCTAAACGATCTCAAACAATCTATCATTATTATGCAAACACCTATTTTATGTAATGTCAAACAGATCTTTCCGCATCTAACCTTACATGTGCATTGAATATTAATGAAAAAAATAAATAAAAGAGATGCCTATGGTTACAAAGAATGGTTAGTCATGCTGTCATAGATGAACTAACTTATTCATTATAGTCATGTTTATTTTGACATCAGACGTAGTCAAAAAAGGAAGCAGCTTGCCTATAAGATTGAGGACAAACAAATATGAATATTGTTTGCTAAAAGTGTTATTACATTCTTTTGTTTATAGAGACAGTTATAGACAATAGAAGTTACAATCACTTACGTGGACGTCAATGATACTGCAAATATTTATAGACTTATACATCTGCGCAAAAGTCTAGATGAAAACTAGAAAATAACCAATAAAGTTCTTTTCAAGCTATATGATAGCTGAGTTTTTGTTTGAACCTATTTTACATAATGAGATATGCAAAACAATCAAGACGATTATGAATCAAATAAAATAATATAAGTTTTAAACTTCTAACAAAACAAAACACAATTTTCTAGTTCTCTTATCAATTAGAATTCTTTAAAGATTATAGAAAGTTTTTCTTTTTGTCAAATGAAAAAGATTAATCAATTATACTGCCTATATCAATGTCAACACCAATAAATAAAAAATTAACAATTCAATTTTAATATTCGATACCAGTAACATTGAAAAGTACTCTGTAATTTATATTTTGATAAATTCACAAATCGACAGAGAAATCTTGTTACTTACAGTAATAGATCATTATAGTTTAAATAATTACACTGTGCAATATATCATGATATCTAAGGTTTTCAAAAATGAATCGTTGTCGAAAGGTTAAATTAATTAGGCATGATTCGACACGATGAATATTGATCTTTTCATGTTTCTCATTTGGTAAATATGTCGAAATATGTTATTTAAATTTATTTTCAACACTAATTCTATAAATTTAACCTATATAACAAAATATTATTGTCTATACAATAAAAAGAACATATTATTTTGTATTTAAATCTAATTATAAACATGACAAGTTTTCAAGTCGAATATAATAACGATTTCAAAGCTCAAAAAGATACTTATTTTTAGAATCA